CATGACAGAGGGCCAAACAGCAGGAATTGTGCGTGGATGGGCAACCTGTTGCCGGGGCCACATTTATAGATCGTGCTTGACGTCGTTTCACAACAAATTGCGCATATCAAATTTACGAAAATGTCTGTGTGAAGGCTTGACAAACTAATAGAATTTGTTGCCTGACTGCCTGCCTGCCAGACATGTCGGTTGCCCCGCGAATGTGTTGCGCGCAAAAGTGTTCAGTAATGTACCGCCCTCCTCTCTCCGACCATCCAAATCGTAGGCGTTGTCATAGGACTCCTTCGAAACTTAACTTGCCAGCTGCCAGCTGGGTATAATGCCGCAATTTCGCGCTTTATACGCGGTTTGCGTGACACACACTCAGCCTAATACCCATACAAACGCATGAATACGTGTGTGAGTATGTGCATGATGAGTGTGTCTATATGCCTACACTCAGAGAAAAAAAAATGCTGTCTTAAATTGAATTACGAGCCAGAGCTCACACACTTTTATCTTTCTTAAAATTATAAATCGTTTTATTTACTTCTTTTTTTTTTAAATAAATTATAAATGATATAAATATATTCTTATATATAAATATAATATATACGAAGAAAAACATGCTTAAATGAAGAACAAAATGCTTTTGGCAGAAATTGTTATACTTGAATACAATTCTCAATTCGCGCAATTCAAGATTAAACGTGTATGATTTGTATTTCAGCAAAATATGTTGTGTTATTTAAAATTCTTAAGTATTGAACGAAAAATTATTCTTAATAAGTTACAAAGATAAGCATAACACACTTGATTAAAGTTCAAAATACATACAAAAAGAATTATTATACTGTGCATACTTTTAATAAAAATAAAATTAAAAATATTCTCAGATAAACAAATTTCTTTAACAAAAGTACATGGCATAAGAATTTCACGCTTTCAAGGAAGCTCAACATATCTTAGAAGTCCTATATTTGAGTCTTGGAAAAAAGAATGTGCATACTTTAAATAAAAGTACAAAATACTTAAAATAAGTTTAAAATTTTCTTAGATAAGCAATCACGTAGGTAAATGTAACTGCCATAAGAATTTCGTGCTTTCATGGAATTTCGACCTATCTCAGAAGGAGTTTTATATTTCAATCTCAGAAAAAAGAAGAATGCAAACTTTAAAGAAAAGTAAAAAATACTTAACTATTCAAATTTCGTAAATAAAAGTACTTGGCATAAGAATTTCATGCTCAGGGGAATGAACTTTGATCTTGTGCGAATGTTGGCAACATTTGTAACTGATTTATGTGGCAAATTCTTAAACTTTTTTTACCCAGTGTATTGTCATAAACATGACTACGGCTGGAATTTACATATTTGTGGCATTAGAGCGGCAATATTAATGATTTTTATAGTATAATAATGCGTTATCACGCCGTAGTTCACTCACTCATGAGCATAGATAGGGCTAATTCATTTGTTTTCTTGTTGGTGCCCCCGCTCTCTCCCTATTTGTCTCATTCTCTCTTTTACATTTGCCGTCTCGCTCTTGGCCAGACAGCGCCATTTGCATATGTATTTTGAATTTTGATTGAGTTGTTGCACATAATTTATGACCGCAATTTTAGTCCAGTGAAGCATTTTGTTTTTACTCTGTGTGTGTGATATTTTGTTATAGATTTTCATTAGAGTAAACATTAATAAACATTTTGTTCTCTCTGATTTGTTATGCTGCATTATGCAAATTAGTGTCGCGCATAAATTGCTAAAATTATTATCCAGTCTGCTTCCTTAATTAAATGACAAAACACACCAAAATTTAAGCCAAAACAAAGGCAACAAAACAAAAACCAAAAAAAACAAAAAAAAAATTTGTGGCATTTTCAGCTATTGCGTTGCCATAAACAGAATTAATGACCGGGTTCTAATTTGTGACTTAAATGAGTTTTGTCAGCAAAGAGAATTTGTTACAAAAAATAGAAGAAAAAAATCAATAAATTTACATATTTCCATTTTAGAATGGACAACAAAAATGTTCACAATATCTAATGATAACGAGTTTTCTGAAATAAGATATTATAAAAACATTTTCGTAATTGGGAAATATGCCCACACCTTTCCTTAGCATAATTTGGATTGAATTGCTTCGATTTTCTTTCCATTTACAATAATAAAAATTCATAAAATAAACAAACTTAAGTCGATTTTAATTCTATCTGGCTTTATTTTCGATATTAATCGTGCATTTAAAAATATTTTTTTTAAAAATTTTATCATCTTTAGAATTAAATGCGCTTGAATAAACAAAAAGTTCTTCAGTATAAAAGCGTTGTAAATATATTTGGATTAGGTAAAGAATACTAAAATATATTAAGAAAGCTAGTACAAGTACTAAGTAAAATGGTTAGTAATTAACCGAAACCATCAACGCGTGCAATCATATTATAAGAAGGTTTGCCTGTGCCACAGTTTATCCAATCAGTTGGCCAAGCTAATTGCTATAATCCGTTCTTTGTTAACCCAGATCTGGGCCAGCCACAAACTATGGTATATTTGTGAGTGAATGAATTGCGCCAAAATGAAAATGTTTGCGTGCAAGAAATCTGCTCCAATTAGGGGAGCACACAGCTGCATTGCTGCTGAGTGGAGTTTTACGGCATTGTCAGAGACATTTCAGTGTATTTTGAAGCCTATTGAAATTAACTTTCTTTTATGTCGGTAATTGCTCTAGTCTATGGCTTTTTGTCTATGAAAATGGCATTTATAAATTTAATAATTTGCATTCAGCATAAAATGCCGTCGGCCGACAGAATTTTCATTTGATTTTTGGCATTTTGCAAATATTGTGGCTTACATGGTACAGCTGGTGATAGTGGATGGTGGGTAGAGAGGGGAGGGGGGCGAGAGAGGAGGAGAGAGGAATGTTCGCTTTTGTATGCCCTGTAAATTTGTGAAATGGGTAGCTATTCTTACTGGTCATATCTATGCGACGTCTTATTCATTTTTATTGGAATAATTGGTGTTGAATACGCATTCCTATATAATTCTTATTTCGAGGATACCTTTCTCCTTCCATCTCAGCTTTTCAAGCTGATATTATGATAGGTATTGGTTTCTTAAAAAAAAAAGGAGTTTGTTTTATGCTTTGTGGAATCTTTTGAGTATACTCCGCTCGAAGTGCAGTAAAATCTGTTGACTTTTTAGGTTTTTTTTTAGAGGATATCTTCTAGTTCAAGCACACTCTTCCCACAGCACATTTTATTCTGTTTGATTCATTCCTTATTTGTCCATTCAGCTGTATATTTACATACCATATAATAAGTTCTATAGTAAATAAAGTTCTAGAATATGTTACGGGGGAATTTGGTATGTTGATTCTGGCTCACTATCAGTCGAAACATATATGTTATTTTATATGTTTATATTTACATATTATTTTCTGAAGTAATTTACTGTTTTTTTAGATTTATATATTCACATTTCACAATCCCGAAAAAATCTTCTTATGTGTATAAAACATATTGAACATACATTTAAAACGAAATATTTCTTAAAAATGGATTATTTCCAGTGGAAGATTCCATTCTCTCTACCACACATTATTCGCTGCTTGATTCATATTTTATTTACCTATTTAGCTGAGCATGATTATTGCATAATATTTTATGCTTTTAATCAAAATCTCAGCGCCACGATGATAAATGTTCTGGCAGCCACGTCTGCCCCATCCGCCAGGCTGGGGGCAAATATTCATAATTCAATGTTTAAGCCGCAATTCATGTTCTTCTTTTTTTTTTACTGTTTGGTTGGTTGCTTGCTGCCAGTTTTGCTTTTTGCCGCTTGCTGCTATTCATATTAAAATTGGTGGTGGCTGGTTGCAACAGCGGCTGCGGGTTGCATCAGCTTACCTGGGGTAAACCTGAAAAACGCTTTTGCATTTTCATAAATTTTTCGGCTTTACCCACTGAAATCGACGCCCACACACCGCAGACCCGCAAGCCCTACGCTCCCATTTTGTCTGAGCATAACCGACTGCATAATTTAGCCTCTGTTGCACTCGACCCATGCCTTGAGTTTTATTTCATACACAGCCGTGGCTGTGGTCTGCCCCATGCCGCTTGCCGCTTGCCACTTGGCACCTGCCACAGCCGTTTGCAGTGCATGGCCCATGCTCCATTTTGGAAGCGTACTGCTGCTGTGTGTTCCCTTACCCGTTTATGCAATAAAATTGAAATTAATTTTTAGTGATTGCGGATGCGGTTCAATGTTGCTGCCACGCCCACCCAGCCGTTAACCAACGCATAATTTTCGATCGCCTACTGTTGGTCAGCGGCGGTTTGACACCGCATATGGTTAAGGCCGCAATTGAATTGTAAATTCTTTCGGCCAGCATATGGTTAAAAAAATATTCGTGTATTTATTTCATGCACTCGAAGAAAAAAACTGAAGTATTTGTTGCGTAAAGGAAGCATAAATTTATTGAAAAATCCGGGTGAAAATTCAGATAAGGAAATTCTGATATGAGGAACTTGTTTCGTATAGAGAAGGAAATTCTAATATCACATACTTGTTTCGTATACCTTAATTCCTTGAATACAAATATTAATTTAAGGAATTTAGTCTGTATTGATAATAAAAAACGCTTTACTATTATTCCAAGGATGCAAATATTAGTAATTCCTTTCTTTATTTAAGACAAAGACGACTTAATTTAAATTCACGTTTCATGACTGTTTTATACTAAAAATTCATTTCACAAGACTTAAACAGGGAACTCTATCTTAACTGTCTTTAAGCATATTTTAAGAATACAACAAGTTTTTAATTTCTCTTAAACTCAATATTCTTTGTATTCCAAGTATTCAAGCCTTTAAGAAGGGAACGATTAAGAATGGAACGACACGAATTCTATTCCATTTCTCTCAGCCTTTGAAAACATCTAAATATTTTCTTTAATACTGGCTGTAAATAAATGCATTGTTATTGTAATTAATACAAATAATATTTGAACTCTTCCATTTCTAGGTCAGCTCACAACAAATGCAATAAGCAAAGACGTCACGTTGATTAAAATACAGGTAATTAAATTTTTCATTCCACCTATTGGCATTGAGCTGACCGAAAATTGACTCACAACTCAAACAATTTTAAATTACCCGATAGCTGTATTAATTACAATTCGGTGTCATCAAGTGCGACAGTTGACAGCGAAGGATATAACTATTTATATGTGTGCATATGTGAGTCCTTAAGAGCCTTTCGCTATGTTGACATTATTTTAGTGCACGTATCGCTCATCGATTTGATGACAGTTAACTAGAAAATATAAATTAGAGCGCTGATTGACAAACTAATTGAGTAATGGAATCGTCAGCGGTGAATAATTTAAATGAAATACACAATTTTGATATTAAATCTTAGTTTTTAACTGGGAGATACCCTTCAATGTTAATTGATTGATACAGTATTAGAGTCAGGGAAATGTCTGATTGTAATTATAAACTATTAATATAGACTTTTAATGGTCACCAAACAACAAAGTTTTTAAATATTCGGAAATAAGCGTCGTGGTATCATGTCCTTGTTTGCAAAATCTTTGCTACTCACTCAAAGCTTTAACTTGTTGAGAATTGAGAGCGTCAAGCAGTGAAAGACAGAAAAGCGAGCAAAATTAAAGTGAGTTTTAGCCTGGGCTTAGCTCTGTTAGTGCGAGACATTCGCCCTTTTTTATACACAAATTTGTAGATAGGCCAAATTGGCAAGTGGACTTTGTTTTATTCCGAGCAATGATTAAGAACATAATAACGCTGGTATGTGGTTAAATAAGGTAAGATCTTAGAACAGACAAAAAAGTCATTTATATTAGAGACTTATTATGAGCTATTCTTCCTAGGAGCAGTATTTATTTATGTAATTTTATATCATTCTCTTCTTCCAAAGATTTAGCTCAAATTTTTGACGCATTATAAATGTCGTTATTAGTCTTCTTATAGATTTTATTTAAATCGTTTGTCATAAGAAAACTCTGTGTACGATTGATAGGGCCAATAACAGATCTATGCGATCTACTCTGACAAACATACGCAAATTTAACAAATATTTAATAGGCTTTTTGTCTGCATCAAAATTCAACAACGTCATTTCCTTATAATTTAATTAGGCTCCTCTATACAATAAATTAAATTATTTCCGAAAATAAATTTGTGTCGGCCAACTTAAAGTCAGTTATGGCAATCGTTATCGTAATCGCTATCGCTTGGCAGCTTAGCCTCAATCATCTAGCAATTAACTCAATTACCCACAGCCACAAAAGTTGACCACAAACGTCTTTCGGTTATACAAGTATCTGTTAGAGAGCAGGCAAAATGTTGGTCTGAGTCATATTTACACTGGGCCAATACCAGTGTCAATGGCTGTAGATAGGTGCGTCTGTCGCTCAGCATAGGGTTACTCTACAGATCAAATAAATTTGAACAAAAGTGTCGTTTATCTGGGGAGAGGTTGGGTTGGGTTGGGTTGGGTTGGGTTAGGGCAGGCGGTTGGCTCGCTTTAATTAGTCGCAGCTGCTGTAGTCTTGGCAATGCTTGAACTTTGACCAAATTGAAATTTCCTTTAGCTGCTTTCTGCTGCTTGTGCTGTTAGCCCTGCTGCTGCTTTTGTCATGTTGGCTAATTGAAGCGCTTATAATAAAACTTAATTGTGTTTGTTTGCTATAGAATATCTTCGTTTTCTTCTGGTTGTTTAGTCGTCGTTGAATTTTGACTATATTGTCACGTAGCCACAAAACACATTTTCGTTTAAGTTTGTTGACAGTTGCAAAAATTGACAATGCAAATATTTGACCAGCTAAATGCAGTTCACTTACACTTCATTCGATTTCAATATTTGACAACGTGATTGCTTTGACACTCATTTAACAGCCATTTAAGAGTGCTATTGACAACCATGGAACTATTACAACAACAATCTATACAACAATTTATAGAAACAATCAAAATCTAATTAGATAGAGTTCTATTTGAAAATATGCAAATATAGTTAATCTACGGCCTTAATTAATTAATTATAAGTTCATATATTTATAAATATATAGAGGATTACTAAAATACTTAGGGTATTCACGACGACTGGTTACTTGCAAGCTAACTTAAATAGTTTAGCGTTAAATGTTAAAATAATGCATTTTTTTTAAAACATTATTGGTCGCACTTTTCATATTATTTGCAAAGTCTTCAAAATATTTCGTAACACAGCCTGCCTTTGCTACCTTTACAGAATATTAAAGTTTTATATGCTTTTATCTTATAGGAAGGAACGATCTGTTAAAAATTGTGATTTTGTTTACAATTATCATTGGGTAGATATTTGAAAAGTGAAGCTGGTTCGTACCCAGAGGGTTGTTTATATGTATTTATTATTATATAATAAGATTGGCTTTAAACCAAATGAATTCGAGCATGGAACTCTTTGAAAATAATGGGTTATTATTATTATAAATATTATTATTATTATTCTGTATGCAATAGTTATAATTATTGTTAATATTATTGTTATTATTCATATTATTCATATTTTTATTATTATTATTATTATTATTATTATTTTTATTATTATTATTATTATTATTATTATTATTATTATTATTATTATTATTATTATTATAATTATAGTTATAATTATTATTATTATTATTATAATTATTATTATTATTATTATGTTTAGAATTATTTTTCTATATTTTATTATATTGCCTTCGAGCCTCGGATTAGATAGTCCTATTTTTATTTGTAATTGTATTTGTACACATACTCGTAGTTTGTATCGTTTTTTTTTTATTATTTTTTATTCATATTTACTTTGCATTTCGTACAGTAAGTTGCATCGGGATTCGCGTTAAAAAAAAAAAGATCCTGGATCTTCACTTAGAGAGGTCTGCAATAGTTATAATATAAATTATGTATGCGCTAAAAATAATCAATATAATCAGGCCAAGTTAGGAATACAAACCTAGGCTTATAGATATGGAATCTTGGTTATTGGAAAGAAATTTAGAGCGAGACATTGCTTCGAATCGAAAAATGGAATCATCTATATTTTTAGTAAATGTAGGACTTACTTAACTGCTTCTTCTTAATTTTATTTTGCTTAATGGGTTATTTTCTATAGGTCCCTCGTTTATTGTAATTCTTACAGTTTTCCGTGGTCCTTTCACTAGCCCTCTCTCTCTCTCTCCCTCTCGTTGTCTCTCCCTCTCTTTGTTTCTCACGTTTATTCTCTCATTTCTCTCTCTTTCTCGTTTTTCACACTGCCTGCATAAAAAAATGTAGTTGTGTTTATTCCTTTACCTTTTTACTCGTGCTTCCTGCCGCTCTTGTTGCTGCTCTTGTAGTTTTGCACTTGATTTACTTGACTGCTGCAATGTTTTTATTAGTTGTAAAATATTTGCAGGATTCGTTTCTTTGCCTTTGCCTTTCCGCTGCCATATTGTTGCTTTGTTTCCTGCTGCTGCTCCACCAGCCCCAACAAGCGTCTTTCTGCTGCTCTTCGTCTGTTTCCATTTCATTGGCAATTTTCATTTGCTCGTTTGGCGCGCAATTAGTTCATATATTTTTTACTTTTGCTGTTTTTTTTTTTTTATTATTTATTTAATGTGTTTTATTCTTTTGGGGCAGTTGGTTCCGTTTATTTGTATTGCTTCTGTTCTTGTTTTGCTAATTAAGCACAACATTTGCCCATTAATCAAATTACTTTTTTTTGTTGCCACTGTTGCTGTAGCCGTTTAACGAGGAACTTGCTCAAACGTTTTTCCTGTGCATATGCCTCATAATTTTTTGGCCGCCCCCGACGTACCCACCTACTCATGCGCTGTCTCGTGCACCTAATTAAAAGATTACTTCTGAAAACTTTGAGGCACAGAACTTAACGTCAACAGCTAACAACTAACAGCTAACAGAGCTGAGCGCTGTTTGCCCAAAAACTTTAAACAAATAACAGGAAATTGCCAAAGTAAACACATTTAGACACAAACATACACACGCTTTACCAACACGCGCTGGCACTTGCTATAAAGTGTGTGTAGACAATTTGAAAAATGTGTAACTTTAATTTAGATGCACTTGTACTCCATTCAATAAGGTTGCACTTTAAAGCTGACACTAAGCCTCTCCCCCTCCAACCAAGACCTGAGCATTCTGCACTTTGCTACTCAGCTCAGCAATTCATATAGTACGTGTTACGCATACGATGCAACTTTTGCCCACTTGACAAATAGCTGCAAAAAGAAAAAGTTGCATCATCGGAAAGTTGCATAGTTAAGGCTGCTCCGCAAACATAATACTTTATAATATGCTCTGTGTTCTCTGTAAGGGTATTTACGAGAGTAGCTCATAATGTTTTTGATTTTCGTATCTAAGTATATATGCTTGCTTTTATATTTTGATTGGACTAAATACTAATGGAGCATTGTTTACAATACTCACAAATGTTTCCTACGATATATAAATTATACGTGTTGCCTTTGAAAATATTATATAAAAATAAAAATAATATTCAGAGGCTTAATTTATTAAAATCAAAATAAAAACAATTTTGTTTTAACATAGCATATATATTTCCTATATATTTATGTTGGTCCCAGGCAACAACTTTTAGGGCACTAGCACATAAACTTAAAACAATTAACATTAAAATAAATAAATAAATGAAACAGTTTATCAAACAGTTTTTAAACATACATTATTTTATTTAATTCAAAATTTTTTAAACTATTAATACTTAAATAATAATGATTATATTCTTCATTATATTAATTCATGATATTCTCCATATTTGCTAAGTTTCGAATTCATGAGTAACTAGAGTTTTTAGTGCACACCTTTAGCAAATCAATTTTTACTTATATTATATATTATTTTTACTTATAATATTCAGCCTATATGTGACTATTCTCAGTTTATCAGCCCTTGGATCAAGTATGGCTTTTAAGCACAAATTAAATGTAGTTCAGCTTTTTTCACTTAGACAATATGAGTATTAAATGAAATATTTTGACACTCTGCCAAACTAAGCATTACTTAGCTACTTTGTCTGGGTATATCTAAAGATACCCTATACTTTTTTTGCTGCTTATTTATTAGTTATTGCCTAATTGCCAGCACATACAAATATGCCTTCAACTTCTGTTAATTGTTGCCTCTTCTACTTTTTTTTTTTATTTATGGCGGCGTTGGCATACTAGCTGACAAAGTTTAATTTCACGTTAATAATGTTATTTGTTTTTGTTTTAATATAAATTGTATGTGCTTTATGCGACAAAGTTAGAAGTTGGCTGTTGCATCCACAGAGAGCACAAACATTAATTTATATATATTCCATACACATAAATATATATTTACATATTTTTGTAGTAAAAATTGTTTATAAAAAAATGTTGTTTGACGCGTTTGGTGGTTTTTGTTGCTTGTTAGGAGCGAACTTTGTGCTCAAAAGCCAAACACACATGTATTTCATTACCAAGTTGTTGTGTGTATGATTGTATGTGTGTGTGGGTGTAGCTGTTTATCTGTGTGCGTTCTAGAGATTTAATTGGTTTTTGAAAAAGTTCAACAAGCCATGCTAATTAGTTGCATGTTGCTTTGCCTTTGATTGTGTGCTGCATACTTAGCCCGACAGGTGGTACGGAGCGCCGGGTATGGAGTTTTTGGCGAGTTACTTAATCCTCACCAACTTTTCAATCCTATAAACAGATTAAAAAATAAATACATATATACATATATATGAATACGTACAATGAACTTTAAGCTTGGAAATTTTAGACGAAAACAAATATGAGCAACATTTAAATAGATATATATATATATGTAAATATTTATATATATGCATTTATGTACATATATTGTTGTTACTTTTGCGCAACAAAATTGGTTAATTGTGTTATTTTATTGGTTGTTACTTGCCAAACAACAATTTGGTATAAAATCCTGTGCTTTTTGCATGTTTTTAGTTTGATATATTGGCTATGATCAATATCCGTCATCGAAAAGAAGGACTCTAAGCTTGGAGCTTGTACTAGTGATATTCTGTTTGATATAGGGTGCGAATAGAAAGAAATTATATATTTGCTGCAGTTAAATTTATCAAATATGCAAGAAAATAGCCTTTGACCTACAGTCAATAATGATTTCCTCGCACGAGCTAATCAAATGTAAAATCATTCCCAAAGGCACAGTTTTAAAGTCACTGACTTGGGGTTACAGTCTTAGGGTCAGTTACTGTAAGCTAGAGATTAAGATTTTGAATCGAATGGTTTAGATTTAGATTATGTATAAAATATAAAATTTTTTTTGAAAAACTTAATTTTAATAATTTTTGAACAAGAAGAAATTACAACAGTCGCTAGGCTACAAATAAATGTCCAAGATACAGTTGGTACCGAAATTGTGTGCACAATTTCCGCCGACTTCAGATGTATATTACACCCCTCTATGAATTGATGAGGGTTGATAGAGCAATCACAAGAAAGGAAATATTTTAATCAATTATTCTCATTTAAACATATTGTTTCTGTTTTTGAGGATAGTGATAAAATACTAAAAAATTAACAAATATAGAAATCGAAAATGGCTGTTACATTCGATCTAGCAACTTCTCGCTTGCTAGTCCTATGCTCAGTGAGTTAAGCGTCGTAGGCTCAAGAGGTCACATTCCCAGAAATACACTTTAATGCGTCAGTCAGGCTTATTATTATTTTTAAAGGTGGTTTTACTCTGTAAACAGAGTATTGCGCAGTTAGTTGCACTCGATTGCAATGTTCTTTTATTGGTTTTTATGCTAACTATTTTACGACTTTGACTTGCATCAAGTAATCGCAGCGTGTGACAGAAATAAATGCCAACTACGTCACATGCAAATGTTGCTATTTTGGCAGCTGTTTCTGTGGTTGAGGCACTTGAGGGGTGTGTGTGCGGGGGTGACTGTATTGCCAACTGTTATGTAACGCATTTATTGTGTAATGTGCAAAAAATTGGGTTCGCGCGTTTGCCCAAGTTGCCATCTCAACTGCAAAATAATTAAATTCCAGCGGCAAAGTTTATGCCGAGACTTTTGCCTTGCGCAAATGTCTTTGCAATTTCATGCAAAATGCTCGACTGAATGTGTGCGGCTGTGTGTGTGTGTGTGTTGTGTGTGTAGCAGAAAGTTATGCCCTCAGCTTATAGCTGCCTTCCCGCTGTGCATTTGGTTGTTGTTGCTGTCGTTGTTATTGTTGTTTGTTGCGTTCATCTGTTGTTGTTTGCTTTCTTACGGCTTGTCAGTGGCTCAGTGGCTCAGTGGTGCAGTGGTGCAGTGCTGGGAATTATATCGTTTGGCTTGTTGTTGTCATTGGCTTTGTTGCAGTTTTCTTTCACATACCGGAAGGAAATGAGCAAAAATGACAAAGTTAACGGATGCGCACAAAACACAGTGCACAGACCCATGTACACACAAAGCCACACACAAGCACAGAGCATGATGTCCTGCGTGTATGCCCAATGCCCTGGCACAGGATATGTGTGCGGAAAGCACAAAATTTTACATGTATTTGATTTATGTGCGCTCTCAACTCTCAAGCAACACCAATGTGACCTGTCAGTGTGCTTGTGTGTGGTGGTCGTGAAGTTCCAATACATACACACACACATACACCTACATTTGTGTCGTGCATATTTCAGCACTTCTGCGGAGCAAATGTCCTGGCAAGTAAGCAAATCATAGCCTACATTTCCGTTGTTGTTTTAACAAGCAAAATGCGACTCAGTTTTTTGTTCTTTTTTGATGCATCTGCTAAGGGCATTGCAATTTTGTCATTAAATTTGTAACGCTTTGAGGATTGAGAATATATATTCTTGTTCAGGATCGGCAGCTTAGTTTAGTTATGTTCGTCTGTCAGTCTGCATTTTCTATGTAAAGTAGCCTCTTTCCACATGTCCGCCGAGCTGTTAATAGCAGCTTGCTTATCGAAATTGGCCAGATCGCACTTCTATTGCATTTAGCTGCCATATAGCTGCCCTATAGCTTTGTATAGGAGTGATGGGTCGCAAAATTAAATGCTAGTAAAAATTCTTGACTTAGGTATAATCGGTCAAAAAATAAGTTGTGGTTTTTATCTGTTATTGAAGATATCTTGATCAAAAAAACAATTACGAGCTTTACTACCCTCTTTATTTGTTTACAAAACCCTGTCTAATCAGTCTTCTGTATTATAATGCTCCCATAAAAAGAATAGAAAGGGAGAGAGAGGGTATTTGATCTGCGGCAATTCGTTGCAAATTGTACTTTCTTGTTTTTTCCTCGAATTTTTGTTTTGCCAGTTTCTTTTACTCCACTTTGGATGCGCCCGGGAGTGCACATACTTTTCCTCAGCTCTGCTGCAAATAAGCCTGTAAAAGTTTCTGCTTGAAATTTCCCATAAATTTTCCAAGTCTCTTACAATAAAACCCGTTCCCTCGTTTGCCATATCCAGCGGCCGCATCTGAAATTGTCGTGGCTTTAAATTTGGACCATTACTAGTCTTTAAATAAAAATCGATTCCGTCTAAGCATTGTCTATTTAATGAGTCAAGAGTCCGGCTGTCATCAAAGCGTACCCAAGAATCCATACAGTATATCAGACCGAGAAGGCAATATAAACTGCTAGCTAGGTTTTGTGACGGGTTGGATTTGAACTTGGGGTTGGGGCTGATTGAAGTTATGTTTTGGCCTTTTTGCTTTTCATTGTTTTGTTTTGCCTTCGTTTTGAAATTTCATTTATCAGCGCCATAAAACGTTACTTACCATGGCCCCGAGGCCCCTGACCCCTCCCCAGACAGCACAGAAAATAACATTCCCGACTACTACAAACTGGGCCCACTGCCATCCCGTGTCAACAGGCAATTATTATAAAAGCCTGCGGACTGAGTACGGAGGGTTCGGATGGGCACAACTGTTGCCCAGCCCCGTACTGGGAACTGTGTTGAAGGCGCCAGGTATGGGCCACCGTCTACAATTACGAGTATGCTAAATGCCTGGCGACTGAAAAATGTGGCTTTAAATTGCATGAAATCATCGCATCGCATTCCGCAACTAATGAAATTAGCGATATGACTTGTCCCTTGCCCCCCAACTCCACACACACTAACGAGGTCAATCCGGGGGCAGACTGCAATAAAAATGTCACCAAGTCAACCTTTTTTAGCCAGTACCCGGGGGCAAAACTGTTGTTGTCCCGTTCTGTATACCCATGAAAAGTGGGCAAAAAAGGGCATAATAATGTTTTGCATATGTAAGTAGCAAGCAGAAAGGGGCTTCTTATTATTTACATATACATATTCTTGATCTGGACGTCAAGCTAACTCGATCTATTTATATTCTATCTGTTCGTATGTCTGATCACCTCTATCTCGAAAATTAGAAAAGCTAGAGACTTGTATGCCATTCGAAGAACAAGTTTTTTAATTGTTTTCTATATCTTTCTCACTTTTTTATAATATCACTTTAGTTTTTTAAGCAAAACTTAATTGTTATTAGAGCCAGTGACACAAAATTCGGTATTTTCTATAGTATAAAAACCCTTAGAATATTTGATAATTTAGATACATCCCTCCGTTTCTTCGAAAAATTGATAAAATATACACAATTTTTTATAGCATATTAAAACCCTATAAATTTAATCATTATCGGACTGTAACATATCAGTTATTGAATGACGCATTTTCCAAAGTTTAAGTCTGGGGAAGGGCCCTGCTTGTGTGTATGCATGCTATCATATTGTAGAATTTTTTGCTGCTTGTAACTGTCTTTCGGCGCAAGCTGCAGAGTATTTCTTAGTTAGGCACTTCCGACTGAAGCACTCTAACATGTCGTCGCAATAGTTTTGCCTATCATGTCAACGACAACAAAATTCTCAGTATGACTTTTCCTGTTCGTTGCTTCAATTGGATTTTTTTGTTTATCTCGGCGGTAAGTTTGTCTCAAATATTATGGAACATTCAAATATATTTCTGCTATATTCATTCAAACAGATTTTGGAATTGGTTGCGATATATTATCTGATTGAGCTGCTTTACTCGCACTGTGTGCGTGGTGGCGAGTATGGAATATCGGTGTGGTTCTTTATATATTTTCTACCAGCGATTGCCGCTCATACAATTTTATTTGTCTGTTTTCGCCTGTTCTGTCGCACTGTCGGCCTGGATCCCGTTGTGCGTATTTTGCCATGTATTTTACCATGACCAACATACATTTACAACCGAATGCACTTTACAGGCAATTGTATTCAATCTAACTAGCGGCGTCATATTGATTATTGCCACGCTTATCGAGCTCATCGCAATGAGGGATCATTGCGGCAACGAGTTCGGCAAATTGTTCTATATCTCTGGTAGCTGTGGACTGATTGCGGGCATATTCCATCTAGGTAATGGCATCATGTGCCTCATATTCATTCCACCGGAGGAGGCGTATGTATTTTACAAATGCTTCATTTCCCGCTAATCAATTGCAACTTGTTTGCCTCCCTTAGACGTTACATAAAGTCCTCGAGAAAGTCAAAAAAGTACGTATCGTGACTTTCTGAGAGTCGAATATATTGCAACTGGACGAAATCGAGGTAATATAAATTAAGTCTGTTTGAATAAACCGCCTTGGGAAGGGCAATGTGGTTCTCAAGGTCTCAAAAAAAGGATTTTCTAATTTTCAAAAAAAAATCTCGTTAAAGAGCCAAAGATTTGTACTTAGAACTTTGTAAATGTTTTTTTTTTTAAATTTTAACTGACTAAAAGTTAACATTTGCTTATGCAATTAACTGTTGTCTTCTTTATTTTAATAGATCGTCAAAAAAGCGGTATAAGGTCAATTGATTGTAGAAGTTACGCTATAAGTTTTTAATTTTCTAAAAAAAAGCAATTTCTTAGCTCTTACGGATTGGGTGCTTCGTTAATCAGTCATTCAGTCAGTCAATCATATAATTAGTTAACAAGTGAATAAATTTGTCAATAAATTTATGAGTCAGTCATCTGTTAGCCAACTAGCCAGTCAAGCTATCAATTATTTGCTCAGTCAATTAGTCTGTCAGTCAGTCTGTCAATCAGTCAGTTAAATAGTAAGTCTGTCAAGCAGTCTGTCAGTCGGTAAATCAGGACAGTTTATTTAATATTTTGAATATAAAATTAATTTGTGTTATAGTCAGTCAGTCAATCAATCATTCAGTCTGTCAGTCATTCAATCAGTCTGTTGGTCCGTCAGTTAGTCAGTCATTCCATCTATCTGTCAGTCACTCGGTACAGTGTCTTAAATATTTTCTGTATTAAAATATTTTGTGTTAAAGCATTTGTGCCGTTTCTGTCATCTACTTGTCAAATTTGAAAGTCCGTTTAATATGTGATTGTTGCTTATCCATCAGATTATCTGTTCTATATTACAATATATTTATATAATACAAAAAGTGCATTTAAGACCCAGCCGCCATCTTGACTTTGTTTGATGTTGCCATCTCGTGGAGCAAGATTTTGCTGGTTTGAACCATTATCCTTGAAATAGTTAATGTGCACATTTTGATGCCTTGCAAAGTAAGGGTTGTTCCACTTAAATTGATTAAACTAAAGTTGACCAGTTTGATTAAATTTCCTTTATTTATGTTTTTCATTTGTTTTATTCATGGGAAAGCGCAAATATTTCTGTAGACTACTTCATTTCGCCTGCAGCTTTAGAATTTCACTTAAATATTTCAGTCGACCCCTTTTGTTCCACTTTATTGAACTGTTTAGAAAAGTGGCCCAACCGTATGTGCGGGTGGCACCTGTTATTGTTATTTGTTATTGCTGGACGTCTAGCCAGGGGCAATAATCAATATTTTGTATTTTGGCGACCTTTGCGTGTTACTTAATGGCTCGAATACCAAAAACTAACCAACAACTACTGTCGACAGCTCAGCTGAATTGAGCAGAACTTAATCAAATTCAATTGAACTGAACCAAATCGAATCGTACTGAGCTGAAGTGTTGTGGAAAGTTCTAATCGAATATCATTTACTCAGCTGGCAATCAATAAATTGCTTTTCGCCAATCATCATTGGGTGAAAAGAGTCTTATGGACTTAACTGAGTGTGCGTCATAATTGTTTGATATTTTCATTAAATTGTCAGCTGATATAAGATTTCTAACTGCGCAGTACAGTGGAGACTCAAACATTGGCAATTTCTAAAAAAACTTTATCTAAAAATTGAAAAAAAAAAATTAATTATAGGTAAGATAATTGAGCTGAAATTGAAAGAATTTTTAATAAAAGAGCCACTCACAATAAAAAAAAAACTAATAATAATATTTATAACTAGCGGGGTTAACCCGGCCTTGCCCGTGGCACGTATGTTATAAAATAAACAAACTTAAAATCCACAAAAAAAAACTTTGAAATGCATTTTCCACCTAAGGAGTTTAGATTTTGCGAAAAATGTGAAACACGTCTCAAATGATTTTTCTTATAGATCTTTGGAAATAAATTTGAACACAAAACGTCATCCACCAAATCTTTGACCTCCATTTCCACCAAGGAGGAATGGATTTTCCTAAAAGTGTGAAACACCCCTCAAATGAATTTGAACAAAGATCTTTGAAAATAAGTTTGGGGCCGATCGGATGGTAAACAAAAAAGTCACATACAAACGTTTTTCGCGATTTTTCTACACTTGCGGGTGGAATTTCCCGAAACCCCGTCTTAACGTGCACCTACATCACATACGGTAACTACAGTGAAAATTTCAGCTTCCTAGCTCTTACGGTTTGGGCTGTGCGTTGATCACCAGTCAGTCAGTCAGTCAGGACAAACAGTTTTATATATAGAGATAACTATTAAAATGATAATATTTATATTTATGCTAATAATATAATATGATATTTTTTATTTAAGCGAATAATAAATAATTTTATCATTCATTTAATTTGTAAACAATTTATATCATAATTTTTGATTCTTACACTCCCTTATGCAACATATATTTTTACCTTTCATTGTCTTGCCAAGGCCCACTGTACGCTAAATGTGTGACTATGGCCCTCCTGTGTGAATCCTTGGTGCGTCAAGTCGTCACGCTAAAAGACAGCCCTTTCAATCAATCGCAAGATTGACAACCATGCGATTCAATTCTAAAACACACGCGCATATTCATAAGCATAAAAGATTTCCGTGCAATGTTCTGCTTCTAGCTGGCCATAAAATAGACAATCGCATAGACTGAAAAACAGACTGATAGACTGCCAGACTGCCAGTCATATACACATAGATATACTCATACTGACAGTCACTAATACATGCAATCAGATGCGAGCGAATCAAATGAATGCGAATGAGTCAAACAGCACTAGCTGCAACTGGTACATGTAAATCTGATGCCAGCAATTGTTGTTGCTGTTGTTTTTGTTGTTGGTGTTGCTGTCAGTCAATTGGCGTTGCTGATGACGAATGCAAACAGGCTGCTGCCATACACTTTTCCAATGCTAGTTCATCTAGTGGCTGGTTTGATTTTATCTTGTTTTCTGTGTGTGGCTTTCCTACATTTCTCAATTTGATGACTTGACATGCGATGCCATTAAAGCACATAAATATTAAATCGTAGCCAACGAGTATTGCCTGCTTGCACAAATGTGACTAGTTGCGTGTTAGATGAATCGTGTTTTCTCACGTGACACGAATATGCACAACCTACAAGAAGCTGCTTGAGCGACCGAGGCATTTTCAAATATTCGCCCAACAGTCCAAAAATATATGTATATATTTTTTTTATCTTATTTTATGACATATTTAATTAATGAATGAACATAATACGGGAACTAAAAATAAGCTTTACAAATATTTTGTTAATGTCCAAATATATTTATTAATTTAAATTGGATTTTCCAAGATTTGTATTGTTGCGATTCATCGAAAAATTATCAAATTACAGTTTTTTTTCGAGTAAATTTGTAACTGTTCGGCCTCCAAATTTCATACAATAGTTTTGCGCTTATCTGCGTTGGTGTTTTCCCATTTTACAGTGTTGGAAAATGTGTACATAAAGAAAGTTCTGACGTTGGAACCCTAAAATTATTATGCGAAATTATACGAGAAACGTGATAAAATATATTATGAATATATTTCTTTAATAAATTAAACTAAATTATTCATTTGTTGTTTTATTATATGAATGATTTTTTATCATATATAATTTACATTTTATTATTTATTAAAAACAAGTGTGTACACAAGTATTTTTAACACTGGGCAATACGCTACTTTTATACACATACAACACGCGCCCATCTCTAGCCGTGTTGCTAATGAGAAAGTTTTCGTGTTATGACCTTTTTGGACACTTAATTAAATACTTGTACGCTTGATTAACTGGGCTATTTCTGATTTGGGCACTTGGTCTAATTAGTGCCAGTGCGATGTCATAAATTTGATAGCAGGCACTTGCCACAAGGAAACAGAAAGCCCAGACAGAAGCTAACAGCAACATGCGTCATTTGTCAAAATGTGTGCACTGCATGCAAATGGCAACAAAAGCAGCAGCAGCAGTAGTAGCAACACCAACAGCAACAGCAGCAGCAGCAATGCCCGTAAACAAATGTAAAAATATTTGGCACTTAAAGTGTTGCCAGACAAATACGACAAACGTTGAAGAGTCATTTACAAGAAGTGCAACAGCAATAGCAACAACAGCAACAACAACAGCAACAGTAGCAACTGCAACAGTTACAGCAGCAACTGTTGTTGAGGGGTCTGAGCAAGTCAAGCGCATGGGTGAAAAATGGCGAATAATGGCGGCAAACAGAGCAGACAGCGTACGTCATCGGCGCAAACAAAGCACATGATGATGATGATGAGTGGGCGTTAAAGAAGTTCGGCGTTGGGGGCGGAGCAACGGGAAACAGTGAAAGAAATAGCGGGAGAGATAAACGCAGACGGCGACGTCTGCAGCTGCCCGTCAAAGAGTCAGTCAGAGCGCACAGTGAGTGCAGTCAGTTGGACAACGAAGCAGAGTGTAGACGCGCGTTGGCGTTGACGACAATTGCACAATTCATAATAGGCAACATGACACTAACAAACACACGACCAACACACGCGTACACACACACACATACACTGCAAGTGTTAAGTATTTAGTGTGTGTTTCTGTGTGCCTCGGCATGTTGCAAGCACAGACTGTGCTGCATACTTAACGCATCCAGGCCTTAGCCATCCTGCTGTTCCTCTCTGACTGACTGACTGTCTGACTGTCTGTCAGTGTGTCACTCACAAACTTCACTTTGTTTATTTTCCAACACTGGCTCTAATGTGCGTTTACTGCTGCTGCTGCTGATTGCGAATTGCTTGCAACAAAATGAAAGAGCATTTTCCCAGTAGCCACCACGCCCCCCCTTTTTGCCCGTAAATTACTTAGGGTAATAAGCATTGTGCACAGTATACGCGTCAGTCTGTGGCCAACGTCAGTGTCAAATTAGTTTGGCGCTTTTGACCCATTGGCCACTGTGTTCTCTGTTGACCCACTTGGTTGGCTTTGATGCCAAGCATTTGGCTAAAATGCCAAGTTTGTTGAATAAACACAAGGATGCTCAAGTTAAATGTGCTGTTTTAAAATAATTACCTGTAACTGGCTAAAAGGCGAGATTGTTTTTTTCCTTTCTAACTTTCGACCGTTCATTCCCATGAGAGCTTTCTGATATAGTGGTCCGTGCTGGTAAATTGCGTCATATATACTGTCTATACTATCAGCAAAATTTGATGACGAATGCATTAAAACTAAGAGACGAGTTTACATAGCATCCCGGTTGATGATACTGATCAATAATTTATATTTCTTATGTAGTTATAGATGTCTGCCTTACACTTTTCACGGCAAAGCTTTAATACCCCCTATATAAAGAAAAATTGTTTTAGAAATCGGTTGCTTATACTTAGTTGTCTATCGATTTGTAGTCTAGACTAAACCCTACATGTTTGGACTTTTCTGTTATTCACATTTTTGCTAATTCCTTGCATATCGCGATTAACTAAGCATCGGCATGCAAAGCTCAAAATTTGGAAATCGAGCCCCCGTGAAAAGAAACATTTTTTGTAAATTCATGTTCTTACTAGGATTTTTTTGTTCTCACATTTACATGTATGTATACTTTCTAGATTGCAGCACATCATCTTATATTGATTTTACCTAGTTGTGAAATTTTATTAAGCGCATTTTTCAGATCTTTTTAATGTTAAAGGTATGCAGGGTAAGTAAATGGAAATATATTGTCAACTTTCGATTGAAATAACCTAACGTAACATTTGACTGACTTTAGCTTTGATGTGTGCATTAACAACTGCTCGGATTGAGAAAACCAATCAGCCACAGTCGAAAAAAAAAAAAACAAAAAACAAAATCAAATAACAAAAACAAACAATAACAAATAAATCCAAGGCACAAAGTAAGCGATCAAGTGTGACTAATGCGGAAAAGTGACTCAAAGAGTTAATAAAAGTAGGCTTATATAAGTAGCTCTCTGGGTGCGTGTATGTGTGTGCGTGTGTGTTTGCGTGTGTGTGCTTGTTAATGCACATAAAGTAATTTAGGCACGCCGCAGCCCAGCCCACATCCCGAAAAATTATGTTATACAAATAATTAAAATGGTGGCATTGCGTATACGCCACGTGCTTTAATGGTTGAAAATTAGTGCACTAAACTTAACCTGAAATTGGTAGCGCAAGAGTGTAGAGGGGTGTATAAGTGAGTATTGGAGGGTGGGGGGGGGGGGGGGTTTGTTTGTATTTGTGCTGGGTTGTAATGTAGTCCTACAAGTGACCAGCCGCTGCTTGGCAGCAGGCATTAAAAGGGGCAATAAAAAGCTCGTAAAAGCTATACAAAAATGGAAATAAAACAGACGAACAGCAGCAACAACAACTCAAGTATTAGCTTAAATGCAATAGACATAAAATTACTCGTGCCAACAACAATAAAGTAGAACGAATAAAACAGATTTTCTGCTAGTAAAGCAATAAAAAATAAATCGACTGCCAGTTGCTGGACTTTTACTGGATCACAGTACAACAGCAATAACAACAGTAACTCTCACCTAAGCCAAATTGAACCAAAATGAGTTTTTAATTCGATTTAAGCAACGGAAAGTTTTTTTTTACAAACGAATGTTGCACGTGTGGCCCATAAGAGACAGACTTCTCATGGCCCCATCAGCTAAATTCCATTAAAATATGTCAAGGCAAATTTTTCACTGTGCTTGGGCATGGGAGTGTGTGTTTGTGCGACCCGGTCACGGGCATGCACTGAAATATGACCAGCAGATGAATAAAAATGATATTTGCCCTGTCAAGTGGCCCTCTGCGAAAACTCCTTAGATACACAGAGTTCAGTTTTCAGTTTTCAGTTTACAGCTTTCATTTTTCGTTCGTCGGTGTCGGTTCGTCTCTGTTTGAGTTCTTGAGCTTATCAGCTTGGCGCTGGCTCAAAAGCCGAACGTGGCCCGAACGGACCAAATATGAAATTCAATTTTGGCCAAGAGCAAATTTTTAGAAAAGAAACAAAAAGACTTCTGCCAGCGGGTATACCCTGTCAGTGTCTTACTCTGCTTTCAGTTTTAAAATAGCTAGCTAATTATTCTAGAAATTAGAATTTGAGAATATAAATAAGATTGGAGACCTCAGTCGAACCAGTTGCTAAAAAGATTGTTCAAAAGTGAAAAAGAACTATTGTGACAAATCGGAATTCAAAAGAAAACTCCTGCCTTGGTTATATATCTGTACAGCCATGATAAGTAGATAGATATGCATAGCACCGGCCTGATATACCCTAGTTGGCTATGGCGAACAGCGTGTAATAAAGGACTGATGTGACGACAAGCAAAATGAGCTAAGAACCTGTGGGGCGGGGCACACTCAAGCGGTTGGGGTGCAAATTTTTTGGCAGCCACAGCAGCATCGCGTGAGTCGCTGCTTGTTTATGCCACAAGTGCCACTTATTGTGGTTTGCCTTCTAACATTTCCACCCAGAACTTGAAGTTTTGCCATAGCACGAGCCACTGCCAGCAGAGCCTCCTCCATGTCTCGGGTCTATCGTCCTATATATGTTGTTATGCGTAAAAAGTTTAGTTTACAAAATGGTTCCTGGCTGCTGGGAGCTGTTTCTACTATAAAGTCTGAAATTGAGGCGGCGTCAGTTGTGACGTTAATGTTGTTCGTGATGCGGCACAGAATGGTCCGTGATGATGATGATGTTGTTGTTGATAAACATAATGATGATGATGTTTGAGTATGAGACGTGTGCGTGGACAGTCTGAAGTTTGTTTTGGCCCAAATGAAATATGAGAGAGCCGCTTAATTAAATTTCAGTTCATTTATAAAACAGGTTTTGAGGCATAACAAAAATTGTATATTCAGATGGAGATGGGCACGTGTCTATCCTCTTGTCCAATAGATCACGATACATATCGTATATGTTGTATACATGCAATTGCTTTTCAGCTTTAAAGTAAGTTAAAAGCTTCTTTTTTTGTTTCCAGATTATTAATATCATTATTATTGGATCCTTATATTGAAATATACCAATCTCCATTTACTTTTTTTTCAAATCCCTGCTATTTATTCCTAAGCAACATTTTCTTTAAAAGTCTCGCCATATGTCTGCTGCCACACTACGCGACGCACTCAGCTCTAGTAGAAGCTGCGCTTCACCTTCCACAGCCAATATAGTGGTCCTTTCTATGCGCTTCTCAGGCTTGAAACTTGTTGCAGCGATAACATATCAAATCCTTGGCCGTACATGTGTTCTGATGTAAAATGTTCTTTTGTTTTCGGGCGCACATGTTGTCATTAAGTGTTGTCCTGCAGTCAACAAGGATGCGGGCGCCAGGACTCTGCGCCTGATTGTAGCCGATAAAGTTTTGTAATTGTTTCATTTCCTGGATTTAAATTGCAAATATGAGTCTCAACTAAATTATGCCGAATGAGCGCAGGCGCCACACACATATACACACCCAATTGCTGTACCTAGAAGTATCTGCTGCCTGAACGGGATATTTATCCTTTTTTGCGTGGAGCAGCGTGCGACACAGTAGATTTAACCTAATTAAGAATGTTCAGCAGGACACAATGTTTCGAATATAAATGAAACGCCGGGGCGTGGCCATGGCATAGAAAGAAGGTTGCCACCGAGGGGGTTGCAGCAAGGGTGGCAGCAGCAGCATCCTGACAGGCAGCGCAAAATGAATGAGCTGCCAAGCAAATCTGCTGTCATGTTTTTGTTGCTGTACGCAAAAGGTTCACAGGATTCGCTGGCTGCGGGGGTTACACGAGTTTGCCTGCTGTTCTTGCTGCTACTGCTGCTGGCAAGACGAATGTTAATTCTATTTAAACACACACACACACACACACACACACACAGAGATATACACACTCAAAGAAAAAAGTGATTCATATTTATAATTAATAATACTGTATTTGAGTATTTTAACTAGAAAATTTCGGAAAGAAAAATACTTAAAATAAGAATTTAATATTGAAGCTAAGAATAAATTTCGTGCTTTTTATAAGAATTTTCATATCTAAATGAGGCATACGATTTTTTGAATGGAAATAAAAAATGTTCCTGAATATGTAACTACTCGATCTTGTAAATGGATTAAGTAGAATATGAAATGATTGATAAATGATTTATAAAAATAGTTATAAGTTCTGTGTTTGAGTAATTTATTTAAAAATTTCGGTATCAAAACGAAAACTTGAAATAAAAATTTCATTAAATTGCTTAGTTGAAATTTTGTGCTTGTTTAAAGAGTTTGACTGCTTAAAAAAGCCATTAAATTGTCTCATTAGGAGCATAGCATTTTCTTGGTTACCTTTAGGGTCTTACCTTAAATAAGCAAAAATGATGTCCAATTGCAGTACATAGATTCTTAGATTGGAAGCCGTAAAAATAGAAAAAACTTTCAGATTAAATAAAAATCTTAAAATAGGCATTCTTAGCTTAAGTAATTTTTGCTTTTCAATTTGTTTCTCTGAGTGCACTTACAATAGCAAGCATCTGCCTTTTGGGTTTCAAAGTCACAAAGATTGTCAACGTTTTCATTTTAATTCAAACAAATGTTACTAATGTTTTCATTGTTGTTGTTGTTAATGCTGGGCGCTTGTTGAATATTTTATCGTTTGACTTGGCGCCTGGGCAACATTTGGCTGTGTAATTTGCACAGAAATCCTTTTCGTCATTTGCCAAACAGTCTTTGGGCTGTCTGCCCTTTGGGACCCAACAGGTACAGTTGTTGCTGCTCATTACATAGCTGGAAAATTCCATTTGGAAATGAACGCATTGCAATTGCAATTTATTTATGATATTATTGTCCATGGCAAACATTTATGCAATTGCAAAAATGTTCAGTACACTCATTAACAAAATGACAACAACTGTCTACTGTAAATATTATTATTATTGTTTTCCTTTTTGTTTGGTTTTCTTCTGCGTTCGCGTGCAAAAGTTTTTTGCTGGCACACGTTGACAATTGTTTTTGCAGCGTTTTTCTTTGTTTGTTGTTTTTTTTTTTCCATATTTTTTTGCATTTTATTTTCCTTACTTATTTTCTGCAAGCAACATTTGCTTAAACAGCGCCAACAATTTGCACACTATTGTCGTCCTGGGCTGGCCTTTATAGGTGTTTTCCCCCACACACAAAAGTATCTTCTATCTGCAGCTATATGAATTTAAATGGTTTTACGACTCCGTCGAGTGCGAATTGTGTTCGTCCTGTTTGCTCGATAACCCACTCGAATATGGCTCGCATTGTTCTGAACGTGAAAATGTCTGCTGTCGCTGCTGAAATGGAAAATTAAGGCACTTCTGTGGAAAATACTTTAAATATTATTATTTCTAGGATTAGAAATAGAAGTGGGCGTGCTTGAAGTTCCTGTGCATAAAACAAAGAATTGCCATAAAATGTATAAAAAGTTTAAGTATATAAAAAAAATTGCAAGTCCATGATTGGGTTAGCATACTTTTTTCGGAGTCTTATAATTTAGTTATTAAAGATGTTATGCAGAAAAAAGAAGTCGATCAGCACCATCACAAATAGCCATATCTTTCTGTATGATTCTGTTTCTATGCAAACTAGTCTTTCAGATTACAATTAGTAACTTTTTCGTTTTTGCCAATATTTTACGAGTTTCAAAATCTTAACCAATGTGCACATTCAGATCTGTCTTTAAAAAGGTTTTTGCTTAAGAACCTATTGAAATATTGATATCGTACATCATGATAGTTTTTTATCTTCGGCATATCATAAAGATATGTTTTTTCTTGTTGTGTATTTAAAAAAATAGGTTCCGGCTGTTTCATATAAGATATAAAAATTCGCTGAAGTCAAATTTATGTTGTTTTATGCCCTGAACCCATTGGTATAATAGTTTTGTGTAAATTTACGAACAGGCAGAAGAAAGCATCTCCGAGCCCATAAAGTATATACATATATTCTTGATCAGCATCAATAGCCGAGTCAATCTAGCCATATCCGTCCGTCCGTCTGTCCGTATGTATGAGCGCAACGATCTCAGAACCTATACGAGTTGGAGACGTTTTAAACATAGGTCCTCCTAGTGCCCGTGAAGTGCAGTTCGAATTTTGAAAAATCC